CCGGCTTGTGAGGTCCAGAAAGTGCCACTCGGACAGTAATAGCTCACTGCATTTTATAGTAGTTGTTTTTTTTTAGATTGTAAGAAAGTGTATGTAAATGCGGAACAACCACAGTTATTTTTTTTCTGCAATGGCCCTGGAGGTCGATTGCAGGGACCTGTGCTCATTTCTGAGCTACCCCTGAATTACTGAGGCTAACAAAAACTTCGGGAACCCGGCATCTGTCAAACAAAGAGCTTACCTAATAATGCTCAAGGACATTGCTTTAAGACACGATTTTTTGAGTGCGGAAATGAATACATTGCTTACAGTTATGCTTCGTTCGACAAGGTTTGAATGCGCGGAGTCATACTGAAAGAATGATTTGTTAGTGCACGGCTCGTAAACCGAGCACGTGTGTTCGTCAGCAAATATTACCTTCGGGTCAAGAAATCCGATAGTGTCGTCTGCTACCGTTTCATGCGTGATCACCAATGGACGCAGAAGCTTGTCAAAGATATTCAGAACTTCTGCTTCGTCGGCTTTTCTGCAAGCGATGACGTCAAGTAAACAAAAACCGTCTAAAATAAAAAAAAAGATTTTAGAAGGGTTCACGCTGTTTACGCGCAGAGGAATCTGCTTGTGTGGTAACGCTAAAACTATGTCATTAAGTATGGGTCAAAGAAGGATCCAACGGACACTCATGGGCACACATTGCTCGTTGTTTGAAGCGTGCTACTCATGTTATAGAATGCAGCCATACACGAAAGATTCTATAACACCAACCACTTTCAACTTTATTGATTATATTAGTGTAATGTCTGATATAAACTTTTCGAGTAACCTCATACAGTGAAAAATATGCACTAAGTGGTTGAAGTACTCACTATAGCGTTCACCTCTTAAGTGAACCCGCAGCGTTGACTGCACTGGGAAGAACTTGAAAGGCACTGGCTATTAAAAAAATAAAATGAAATAAAGATAATAAATACTACAAATACAGCATTTATTGTGCTTCTTGGCCAGCAGGTCAGATCCCAGTAATAAAAGGACGATAATAACATTGAGTAGTTTTATTAGTAAGTTACGTATAAAATGGGCAAGTTGTTACGACACATGGAAACAGTGCCCAAAACAGAGAACAAGAAAAGGAAGGAAACATACAATGACACTGACTTACATCAAGATTTATTTGCTGAAACTGCGCGATATATACTTGAGCCATATCTGTCAAACAAATATCTGAGAAAGGACAAAAAAAAACGAAATTCACCTAAGACTACGTAATCATCGTGATAGCGTGCCATGAACATTACGTGTGCCATTGTTCTGAAGAAAATGTATTTCTCTCTGTGGTAGCGCAATCGAAGGTCTGCTGTCACTGCCCAGTCTTGCCATTTCTGCAGCCTCATAAATTTCACGTATCATCTGATCCCGATGACGCTTCACTAACGCACACTGCTGCAAGTCGGGAGAACAGTCACAGTCTCGGCAATGAATGCCGAGTTGGCCCGATAGCATAGAGACAATGGAAGCGAACTGTTTCTGCCGCTCGTATAAACGCCGACTTTCTTATCAGAATACAGTAGGCATATTTGTTGAAGGTTTTATGGAACTGCTAGATTATTACCTTAGATCGACATTCGTAATGACTGTATTTATTTCCAACGGCAAGGGTAGTGCATTGAATCTTGCCTTGCACAAATTCTAGGGCATTTATTTTTAGCCAGCCGTGATCGCGCTATTCAGAATTGCTTAAAAACGACAAATATCAAGAAAGTATTCTGCTATGTTGACGATTTGCTTGTACTGTTTCAAGCTGAAGCTGCTGTTTCAAACAGCACGAGCATCAAGCTTGTGCTGTTTCAAGCATCATCGGCCACTGCTTTTTTTACTAGTGTTTTAGGAACATTTAGTAAGCGCCTTTCTAACCCGTAGAGTTTCGGACAGAGGAACCATCATGTTTCTAGA